AGTAGCTGCTGAGGCTGCTTATATACATCCACACATCCCATGGGGTTTGGTTCCATGGTTTGGAAGCTTAGGGTCATAGTTTCATGGGATATCCCTGTTATTTGACCAAATAATGTGTTTAGTGCTTTTATTCTACCTCTTCATTCTTTGAGTGGTGCCTGGGGTCTTAAAAGCTTGCAAACACCATCCAAGGCACAACAGTTGGTCTCTATTCACTTGGGGCAACAATGGAAAGAGAGTCAGGAATAGAAGGAGGATATGGAATGTGTGGCTAATTGCCTCCATGAACAAGTACCTCCTTTGTCACAAGATTAGAAGAACTGGATGGTGCTTGGCTATCATTATTAAACATGTTAATCAAAGATTCCATAGAATAAGCCTGATCAAAAGGGGGAAAATGCAGAACAGAATTTCAAAATCTCATTGTCTTAGTTATTTAGTGCTGCTATAAGTGGTGGTTTTAACAAACAGAAATTTATTTTCTCACAGTTTAGGAGGCTAGAAGTTCAAATTCAGGGTGCCAAGCTCCAGTGATGTTCCTAGGGTTAGACCCTAGTCACCCAGTGCAGTGATTCATGGTGTCACGCCTGTTTATGGGGCTTACTGGCAAACACCTCCTTGTGGGTGGAGTGGCCCAGCCTTGCCCTGCCCTTCTCCAGGCCACCATAGGCCAAACTGCACATTGTGTAGCCCTAGTAGCTACTCCCTTCTCCCACTGGCCAACATGGAGACTCTCCTCTCCACACAGTGGCAGGCATGATGGCCGACCTATCAGTACCTTGACTGATGTCAAGGTGATGGGTGGGGGGGGTCTGACAAGTTACTGGGTGATGGGTGACACCAACCCTAGTGACACTACTGCCTTGGTGGCCCCTCCTCCTATGGCATACACTTGACCATTGCTACTGTGTCAGCACAGCCAGGTACCTGAGATAATTTTAGTGTCATCCCCTCTGATAGTGTTAGGGGGTGGGGTTACACCCCCTCAGGTCCCCGTAGTGATGCCTCTGCTGGCTGTAGGAGAAGGCTTTCTCTGCCATGGTTCTGGAGGAAGGCCCTTATCTCTTTGAGCTTCTGCTCCTGCTCAATATTCATGATGTTTGGCATTTTCCCAAGTGGAATTATAACCATAGCATAGAGATTAGGATTTACAACACGTATGTGGGGGGCAGGTATAATTCAATCCATAACATTCATGGACTCCAGACATTCTGGAACCATGAACTCCTGAAACTATTGCCCTGAGATAATCTTTGACTCTCACACCAAAAATACTTCCTGAAGTCATCTTATAACTGAAAAATAGTTTACCTTAACTAGGGGCCAACTCGACGGCACATAACAACAACAACAACAACTAGAAAAAAGTCTGTCTTGAGGATTATGCTCTTTTAAGAACTATCTCAAACCAACCAAACTAAACTCACTGCTGTCAAGTTGATTTCAACTCATAGCAACCCCCACTGGGTTTCCAAGCCTGATACATCTTTACAGAAGCAGATTTCCTTGTCTTCCTTCTGTGGAGTAGCTGGGAGATTTGAACCACTGACCTTTTAGTTAGCAGACAAGTGCCTTAACCACTACACCACTAGAG